TTGAAATCACTATAGATTGTTAATGAGGAACATTCAAGCCAAAATTGAATAGAGGAATTTTATGCAAATGCACATACACACAGGAAAACAGCATCAGCAAACATTAAGGAAATTGAAACTGCTCCCTGTCTGCCTTAATGATATGCTGTCTGGGAGAGAGTCATTATAAGACACTCTGTATTCACAGTCCCTTCCATCTGAAGGGACATAATATACAAATGTTATCAAACTTAGCCATCTGCATGGCAAATGAGGAAAGGGAAGAAAATAGGTGAAAAATCTTTGCATGGGGGGGGAAAAGGCAATTGAAGTCAGCCCCTTGTTTCTCAAACTTCAAAAACTAAAAGTGGGAAGAAATCCCACCATAGAAGAAACCTTCCACATTTAAAGCAATCAGACAACAAGCCCTCATGTTTAAACCAGTATGGTTTTAAACCTTCATGCAGAGACAAGGTCTACTCAACCAAGCCTCGAAAGGTGAGTGGGGTCTCAATAAATGTTAGGTCCATCCTGAGGGCCAGATCTGCCTTGGTTGTTTGCTGGGATTTTTTTTCCTTTAGACTTCTACCATGCTTGTTCGAGTTCAAAGTCAGTTTACATTAAGATGCTTTATTATGAACTATTTTATTCTCAGAGAAGAATGTCCCTGAGCATTTCAGTCTTAGACATCTATTTAAGACTGAGTTATATTTCTTACCTTGGGGACTAAAAATCCACTGACGTATTGCACAATGATTTGAGAATAGTCAAGGTCTTCTCTCAAATTCATCTTTTTGGACTGAGACACAGATTTCCTGGCTCTCTTAATTTAAATAAGCTTCTTTCTACCAGACACAGAGTAGAGCACCTGATCCACATAATCTTATTGCTTCTGAGAAACACACTGGTTACAAAACATGATGTGTTTTGATGTGTTCTTCTATCAGGTTCAGCTTTTTCCTTCCATCATCAAGTATAAGGCTAAAGAAGCAGTGTGGATTAAAGCTTGTACTGTCAGTTCATCAGTCAGCAACATGCTGGCACCTCAGAAGCACTTGAAAGCTTATAACAAGGAAAACAGAAATCAGTACAGAATACCAAGAACCTGAACTCAGCATGATGAACCAGGGTTCATAAACCAAAGCAGAATATTACTTTAGGCTTTTTCAAAAGCATAGATTCTCCACTGAACTGGCTTTTGGTGTGGGAAGGCTTCACAAAAAGAAACAAGATAGCAAGGGATAGAATGTAATGAAGAAAACCTTAATTGATCTGGCACGCAGCTCAGCCAGACAGGTGTGGGGAACAGCAGCTTGCAAAACATGATCAGTACATTGTTCATTACCTTTTCTCTATTTCACCAGGCTGGTTCCTCCCCTACCCACCTTGATTTCTCCATTTCCTGCCTTTGGCCCTTTCTCTAAACACTCTAAGTTTCCCACAAGTCCCACAGTAATTACCACAAGCCCACTTTAACTTCCCATGGTGTTTTCACTCTGATAAGCCCTTCAATCATTTGTTTCTGCCCTTCTTCTCAGCTAAAAATATTTGGCTGAACTTCTTCATGGCTTTGTGGTAATCCTCCAGTGTCCCATCCACTAAGGGGACAGGGAATTCTAATATTTGTCACTGTGCTTCTCATTGCCTGTTTGATAGCTTCTGTACCTAGATGTGGTTAATTACTGCTTTTGTCTCTTGCCTTTGTCTGTGAGGCTGAAGAGCCCTTAACAATCTGTCTCAAAACTCAGGTACCCTCACATTATAGATTTCTTAATATTCTTAACATTCAAAATATCATAATATATACAGATCAGAAACAGTATCTGTTTCCCAGCTTCTAATACTACAGGGTCTCCTCTGTTACCAAAATACTAGGCCTAAACATACAAAAGTCAGAGCAAATTCCAAACTCCAGAAAAATGTACAACTCCTCATTCTGGATAACATGGCCCAGAATCTGTGAAGCTTGCATTTAACAAGACACCATTTTTAATTTTTGCATGTTTTTAATAAGCATTGAGAGGTGAACAGTTTTGTCAAGCCATAGCATCCTTAGCATTCCTATCACAGCCTGGAACTGCAGTCTTCCTTTTGTACTATAAATGAAGAAACCAGCAAGGCATAACACAGGCACTGTTTCATTCATCACAGAGAAGGTTTATGGGTTTAAGACTGTATTGCATTTTAACAAAGCATTACCTGTTTTAAAGGTACAAGACACAGCACTGAACAAAGACTTGATACATATCCTTCTGACAGCATGAGTCTTAAGTCATTCTCAAGCCTCATACTGAGATGTTGGAAAAAAACCCAATAAATTGTATGCGTTTTAAGTCAGCCCCTGACAGCCTGATTGCACCAATATGTAACATAATGATCTATTTCCTATTTAAAGGGATCTGTTTCACCCTGTAACAATTAAATTGCTTTTAGCAAGCCTGGACATGTATACTGCACCCTTTGAGAAGCTGCATGGTGTGAGAACTCCCAGTTCTGAAAAGGCCACTCTTCCAGTAGCCTTTCAGAAGACATTGTGCTCAGGGAGTCAGGGTCTTGGACAGGCCACGTCTGCTCTGAGGGCCTGAGAAACTCATGTGTTATTAAGGTAATCTGTAATCCATAAAATATTTGGGAAAGGTAAGCTGCAGGTGGACCAAGGAATGGAATGCATTGATCCTGAGCAGGAGCTTTTTGTGCATCCAGGAGTCAGTGCTGCCCATGGCAGCGGCCATGCTGTGTGCCCGGGGTGGCCTCAGGCCTGTCCTGTGCCACAAATATCCCTCAGCACAGGGGGGCTCAGGCAGCTCCCACTCCCACATCACCATCACAGCCTTGCCTTTAACAATGCAGCAACAAGTTCTTGTGAGAACAGCCTCTTTCTTGTAAGAAAATTTTTTATAACCCAAATGACCCAAAATGAGGCATTTCCTTCCATGGACAGCATCTGTACAACGTACTGTGGGAAAATCCAACAGAGCTCCATGCTGTGCTGGATGGAGCATGGACAGATGTGCCTGGCATCTGAAGAAACATCAGGATTTACTTGCTATCTATCTGCCTCTTCTTTCTCATTAACACAATTGTTTTATCAAGCCATTTGTTGCAGGCCTTCCTTACTGAGTTCCAGAAAGCATCCCTGCCTTCAGTGTAGAGCATTCTCCATAACCCTGAGAGAGCTTCGCTCAAAATGTTTCATTTGTTCAAAATGTTGCTTCATTCAAAGTGTTGAAGCTACACTAAGCTAGTCAGCAATAAGGCTTTTTTGAAGGGTTAAAGCATTAGAAGGGAGAACAATGTGGAGAATTTTGGGGGAAAACCCACACATTTATAGAAGCACACAGAGCTCAGGAGAGCCTGCAGACAGGTCCCCGGTGCCTCAAGGGCTCTCTAGAGGAGGTCAGTGAAAGAAGGGGGAGCTGAACCTTGGAGCCAGCAGGGAACCTGGAGTGTGGGTCCCACTGTCCCACGGTGGTTCTACAGCCACAGATTCTGTGGGACAATTTCCCACCCTTCTGCCCTCCATTGGAGGTCTCCTTTGGCAAGATGTTTCTAGGCAGCATTCAGCCCCCAGCCTGTGCCTGATCCTGCTGCAGTGGGGCTGTTTGTCTTTCTAAGCAGGGGTTCCTTGCTCTGTACCTCTCCTGCTTTTGTTCTTGCTTAGTTACTGTTTCTTTTGTTATATTTGAAGCAGCATTTTCCTGGTGCTCAAGGCTGTGCTCCTTCAATGACCCACAACTATCAGCAAGTTCTGAAAAGCAGCAGCCACCAGCTTCCAGTTAGCACATTAAAATGGTAAATTTCCTGGCTTTTCCTGCCCTCTGCTGTTTCCTTAACTCCCAGGCTATCAGGCCAAGGCTTTGCTGGAAGTTTCTGTCCTTTCAGAGCAGCCTGGGGAGCAGCTGACTTCACTCAGCCAAGTCAAGCACAGCCAGTCTCAGTGTTTCCTGCTGTTTCCTACCCCGGGCATTCTTCTGCTCTGGGCTGATTCCCTCCAGCTGTGGCCAGCTTTCATTCATTACTCCTAAGCCATACTGGAGCTAGAAAATGTATCTCAGTCTATATGGCAAAAAACTCTGTGGGAGGGGGAAAGAACTCTCTTGGCAGAGCCATCTGCTTCAAACAGAAAACCTCTCACTGCAGCACCATGAAAGGGCATGAACTTGAGAACAGCTTTCATTACCCCAAACATGGGGAACTTGGAAACCTCCACCTTCCTTCCTTTCTTCTGGCACAAGCTTTTTGAAAGTTAACATATCCAAGAACAAGCAAAATCAAGGACAAGGGACCTTATATATATAGCAAGGTGTCATCAGAAATGTCTGTTGGAACACGGAAACTGTAGATCAAACAGGGCTTTAATTTGCCTGCGTGTAGCAAAGCACTTATTTCAGGCTCTCTTCACAGTGTTTGTCATTTAGGAAAAAAAAAAAACAACAACTCCCTAAAACCAAGATTCCAATCATGCAAGCTGTCCTACCATGTCTCTGTAATTGGTATATTAAAGCCTTGTGTCTCCTGTGTGTACTGAGGCTACTTTCTCCCTGTCCTTCTCCTACAGTCACATGAGTGAGAGGCTCCTGTAGATGGGTACTGAGTGAACTATATCAAGCTCCTCTAGTATCCAGCTTAATGGGCAAATGCAATTACTGTTCCAGAAAAAACTGCAGAGTGATTTTTAGTGCCTTCTCCAAATGTTTCTCACTTCAGTAATGTATTATTCTGCTTCCAGGAACTGCATGGGTAATGGCAGACTGTGTTTGATCAAATGATTTAAAGAAATGGCAGGAGGCATGAAGTAAGGACAACCCAAGTACATAACAAAATGACTTCACAGCATCATCTTCCTACCTGTCTTGTAATAAGAATCCCTGGGCTTCAACCAGTCACTAAAGTACAACACTTTTTCATAATTTAAATCAAAGTCCAAAGGAAATAAAAAATTAATGTATTTTTTCATGCAAAACTCCCCAAGGCTCAGACACGATTTCTCCTGGAACTCCGAAAAGACCATAAAGGAGACATAATTTGTTCTGGTTTTATTATATGAATATTTCAGGAATAAAAATGCAGGCACAAAAGCTCAGTACAGGGATTAGTTTTGTTTTGCAGGAACTCAAGTACAAATTCAGCTCTGCTTTTGTCTGATACAGTGTTAAAAAAAAGAGAGACTGATACAAGCTGAAGCAGACACACTGCACATTTCTTTTGTGGATTGTTTCTTGTGGAACAGGTGCTGATTTCTTTCTTTTCCTCCCAGATCCAAAGGCAAGCCAAACCCGGCTTCCAAATTTGTAATGCATGCATGCTAAGATCTGTTATTAGTGAGTCTTTTGACAATGTATTACAAAAAAGGTTGGCAGCCTTAACTAGAAGCTAAGCTGATCATTGCCCACTAAGAAGAGAATAGCACATTTCTCAACCTCTTCTGTTTTGTTACATACATAAAACATGTACTACTATTTCCTTCCTAAAACAGCATCATAGAGTTTTCCAGTCCTCTTTACTTGAATCACTCCAAAGCCAGCTGCCTCCAGGAGCTTGCTGTACTCTGCTGCTGTTCTCTCTTTCCCTTCTGTCTGGACCAACATATTCATGGAATACAGCTGGGTTTCTACAGGCCCACTTTTATCTTCATTCAGAAGGGATTCAACCAGCAGCACTCCACCACCTGGTGGAGAGAAGAGAAAGAAAACACACCCTGAGAAATGAAGAGGTGAGCTATTTTTGAGCTGTTACTAGGACAGATCCTAATGTGACTTTCAGGAAGAAGCAGTCTCTACATTATGTCACATTTTAGCATCACAGAAGACAATGAAAGAGCCAAAGCATCAGAGGATATCTTTGCTCAGCTATGTTGGTACTGACATCCCAGAACTGAAGGAGGTGCTGTGGCTGGGATGGAAATTTCCCATTTTCCCCAGCTAAAAATTTACAGGAACTTACTGATTTTGTTTTGTAGCAGTGCTTTTGAAATTCTGAGGCTTCATTGTGATGCTTAATGGGATTTTTTGCTGTGATGCATACACCTATCTAAACAATAGTAAGTCTCTTTGCTCTTCAAGAGTTCACACCTACCAGGTTTGCAAGCTTTGTAGACTTTTGCCAGCAGTTGTTTGCATTTGTCATCATCCCAATCATGCAGTATCTTGGATAAAATATACAGTTCAGCTTCAGGTATTGAATCATTAAAGAAGTCTCCTGTAAAGCAAGAATACATGTATTATACAAATTCCCACAACACTGAGAGCTGAGTTATGCAAATATTTTCAGTTCTGTTCAATTCCAGGCTTGCAATGTCCTTCAGACATATCAGACAGCAATGGAGGTAACAGGTGAAAGTCCTCTGTTGCACTGCATAAGGAATTTTGCTCTTGATCAGTCTCAAGAAGGTCTCAAACATGTAAAGGCAATAACTAATCCTGAAACAGACTGATGTACAGGAAAGCATTTCAGTTTAGGTTTTCCCCAATGACAGAAATTCAAATTCATACTGCACTAAGGACATAGGTTCACACAATTCCTGTCATGAGAAAGAAGGAAAGAATATTGCCTTCTCTAAGAAAGTTTTCAAAGAGAAAACTTTGGTAATCACAGAGTAACTTCATAAATCCATAGGTAAAAATACCCATCTCTCACCTCCTAGCACTAGCTTTGCTATTCCTTTTGTTTAGCACCTGCTGTTCTGCATTCAGAATTTTTTTTCTCAGCATTTTACTTTGTCATTTCTTCTCCCATTTTGTTGCATCTTTGTTTTTATACACTCCCTTCCCTCCTCAAGGCTCCTTTTCTCTCTCTCAGCTTTGAGCAATTTTAAGCACTTCCAGCACTTTGAAGACTTTTGTAAACATTAAAAATGAGATCTCCCTATACTCATTTTCTTCATACATAGTACAAAGACTATGCAGGATCAGTAGCCTGGACAAGAGGAATAGGAGCTAGCTCACCCACTTTCATGCTTTAAAATATCTTAGGACTTGAAGATCAATCAGTTGTGACCAGAGAAGGAAAAACACTTGTTCAGAGCAGACCTGGCATACCTCACATCTGCCAGGAGGTTTGCACAGGAGAAAAGGGGAGCGTTAGGAAAATTTTTAACAAAGCATAACAGATTTCAAAATTGCATGATGCTTTTTTTTTTTTTTTTTTCCTAATGTACCAAGAAATGAAATAGTTCTCTTCAGGAGTTAATGTTGCTGAATAACTAACTGAGTAGTGTCTCTGACAGCTGCTGGTGGACAACTGGGACAGCTGCAGAGCCAGGCTGGGGAGGCTGCAGCCTGAGACACTGTCCCCATAAGGGGCAGCTGGAGACCTGAGCCTCCAGAATAACATCTCTAAGCAGAGCCAGGGCTCTGGAGCCACAGCTGTGACAACACCACACCACTGTCCCCACCTACCTTCATGGAAAGTGATCTGACGCTCCTCGGGGGAAACAAACTGTTCTTTGGCCACCTGCACAACTTTGGGCAGGTCATAAATTGTGACGGTAGAATTTGGATACAAAGAAACACACTCTTGGGCCAAAGCTCCTCCACCTCCTTTGAGGACAGGAAAAGAAGGTCAGTACTGACACAAACCCAAGCTGTTCAGTGATACCCCCATGAAAGTATATAGGCAAGGGTGCATTAGGCCTCATGGAAGCTGGCAATGTACATCTGCACCCCTTGAGACACCTCCTCCCATGTGTTGCTGGGAGAGAAGAGGAGGGGCAGGAGAAGTCACTGTCTCCATGTGTTCTGCAGGAAGGTCTGGGGCCTGCAGCACCCAGGCATGTGGGGTCAAGCCCCTGCCCTTACTACTCCTACACTCCCTCCTAGCCAGACCAGCTGTGGGTGCTGGAAGGTGAAAAATGAAAAACAGTCACTAAACCAAGCTCTGGAAAAGGAGTGAGGGAGGCCAGGAGGGAGCCTGCCTTGTCCCGTGAATCCTGGCAGCACTCAGCAGTGCTGGGACAGCAGGGTGCTCCAGGATAAGAGGCTGTAGGCAGCACCTCAACAACAGTGACTGCAGGGGAAGAAGGAAAGAGTCTGGCACTGCAAGAACGCAAGCAAGACATGAAAAATGCTAAAGCTGCCACATCCACAAGGGGATGAGTGACTGCTTACATAAATCAGACTGTAGAGAAAAACATTCAGCTTTCTAATGCTGTCATCCCTCTCACATTTCTGTTTTTAACCCAACCAAATCAGTAAAATTCTCCTTATATTGCTATGTCCTGCTTTCCATTGTTTTGCCCAACATATAACATAGGAGTTGTTTTCCTCTGCAGAGCTTATAAAAGGCAGTTCAGAGTGTTGTTAAAGAAGATCTTCTGACACTCACCTCCCAGGTCATAGATCTGCCTGAAAGGGGAAAGGTCAAATGCAGCAAGAACATCTCTGCCACATATACTCCATACTGAGTTCTGGCCAGCCATGAATTTTAGCATTTCTTCATCTGATCTAGCAAGGCAAACAGAGACAGCACAGAGAGAGGGTTCCTTACCACATCCTCAGAGATCCCTATAATATAACTGCTGCTACATGTTTTAGCCTAAACAAAAATCTCTGGTTTTATTGACACAGAATATGTCCTCTTTGCATATAAACCTACCTTGAATATTACTGTATCAGGAGTGTACAGCTATGAAATCATGCATTTAAATAGGGAATTAAGACTAGTGAAATCCAACAGTGTATTATGCTGCTCATTCTAAGAATTTCCAAGGGACTTTTTTTTCTTCAACTACCATTGCCTCTGTCAGAGATCTGTGATGTTTTTCGGGTTAGGAAATTATATACTTCTATTCAAAATATCAGATAGTGTCCCAGTAATTGATATTGTTGAGAAGTAAAAACATTGCATGAGGAATGACACTGATGAGAGGAATTGTCACCTCATCATATTTAATTGTTCTGAGTCATAATTAAAAAATTAGTTTTATCCACAACAAGAAGAATAAAATTTCTATAAATATTCGACTGATTACCTGTACATTGCTCCAAATGGGTCTTTAGATGAAACACCAAAAGCTCTTTCATATTGGTTTCTTCCTTCTCTAAAAGAGCAATTGAAAAAGCCTATGAGAGTGCTAATATATTTCTCAACCTCTCTCAAGAATGACTGGGTCTTTTCAAGGTCAGGGTGGGATGGCACTTTGAGCAATCTGATCTAGTGAGTGGCATCCATGGTAGGAAGATAGGAATTAGATGATGAACTTTAGAGCCTCTTCCAACCCAAACCATTCCAGGATTCTATCATTTAAGGGAGCACACCTGAGGTAAAGATACAAGACTGATACAATCACCATCATCTACACCATGTTTGGTCATCAGTTGCATGGACTGGAACAAGTGAGACTCCAGACCCCTATTAAACTGCCCCTATAAACTTTTGAAACAGAAGGACACTTAGCCACCACTACTCATTATTTACTTGGTTGATGCCACATCCAGTAAGATCCATGTAATGATAAAGTGCTTTACTGAAAGTGACACATAAAGAAATCTGATTTCTGGATCATCTCTACAATGACGGGGAAAAGGAAAACAAGAACATACACAAATGGAAAACAAGGTGGGGAGGGGAAATGGCACACATATGGCCATGTTAACAGCTGAATTATCTGTTGCTTTTAATTTCTGAGAATGAGTCAACATCTTTACTGAGCTCTTCTCCAGAAACACACCACTCAGAGCAGTAACACAGATACTGCAAAGCACCAGACAGCACACAGCACTCCTCCTTACCTCACAGCATCAGCCAGGTACTGCCAGCACAAGTAGACTGTGTTGGAATAATACATCATGATGTGATACTGAGATTTTGGACTTGATTTTGTAAGGTAGACATTGGAAATTTCTGTGTTTCTGTAGAGGGCTAAAGGGTAAAATAAATGTATTTACTAACATATATGATATATCACCTTGCCAAGTCTGTTGTACAGCTTGGTGTTTATCACCAGAAGATGTCTATACAGCCAAAGATAGAGCCACATTACTTCTACAACCAAAGCCTTCCACTGCAATGAGCAGTGGGTGAGGGCTGCTGAAATCTGTGTTGCCCCATTCTGTCTACATAAATACCATTTCCCTGTGCTTAACTCCAGCACCAAACATTTCTTTCAAGGAGAGCAAAAAAAAGCCTTTAAAAAAGTGTTGTAATTTACATATAGGTTTCTGCTCTTAGAGAAAGCTTTCGGTGTGCTCTATTTAAGTGAAAGCTCTTTGCAGACAAGTCTTTTTCTTGATCAACAAGGTCAGCAAGTGGAGGGAAAGTCCCCAAAACAGCAGGCCAGCCACACCTACCCTTCCTCAGTTCACTAGGACAGGACTTTCTGCAAACAGAAGAATGCCTAAAGGACTCCCAGAAATCCCTCCCACTCCCTCCAATGCATCTGCAGTGGCATCACTCACCCACAGGACTTGCATACCAAAGGAATATAAAAGATAGATTCTGCTCTCCCCAGACTCATTGGGCAACAACTGTAATCCCTACAGCAGAGCATGCCAACACAAGGCAGAGCAGGGGACACAACCTGTGAAATATTAGCAGGTCCTGACCAGCTGTTGGATGGCTAGAGATCCTTTCTTTCCAAGTGGATTCCATGTTTCTGACATAAGGAAAAACTTTTATCACCTCTCAGTTCTGATCAACAACCTAACAAAATAGTTCACATAATGGTAAAAACCCTATGAAAAACAAAACCTCTTTTAAATCATGGCATTTTGTTTTAAGTTTAAAATCCTGTCCATACCCCAGAGAGTTCTTGAGACAAGTTCCATTGAGCTTGTGGAGCTATCCTAAATATCTTCTCCAAAGTCACATGAGGCTCTTGCACAAAGACATTTATGGATATAGAGCCCTGTGCCTGTGTTTCATTTTATACTTATGATCATGCTGACATTTGCCTCCTCTTTCAGCTGAAGAGTTAATCCCAAGAGTGATTCTATCCTTCTTCCAGCTACATTAACTGACTTAACATTTGGTATCACCTTTGCCCACACATCTTACCTCACTTTCAAAACCATCAGAGGTTTCAATCTTACAATTTATTTCCATTCCTCTGCTTTTATTACCTCCTTCTTGTGTCATCTCTACTGCCAAGAGCTTCAATCCCACACAGGCATCCAGCAGTCTTCTCATCCCCATGGTGCTGGCACCCAGACCTGCAGCAATGGCATCTGAAGACAGAGGCTTTCCTGACTCCAGAAGAAGATCAAACACCCCCAACTCACAGGCAGTGAACATAACCTGGGAGCAGGGAAAGATGGCAGTGAGGGATTAGGTGAACGCACAAAGCCTACTGCATTTCACAAGCTGCTTAACTAGGGAAAGTATAAATTTAATGATATTTATTTCAGATAAACTTATATTTCATATAAACAAGTCCAATTATTAAATTGCAGCTTATCTGAGCACTGATATAACACACTATGCATGTAATGCACTCATTAGTCTTATTCTTTTTCCTTTTCCAGTGAAGCCAGCCAATACTTTTTGGCTTCCAAAAGTCCACATTTAGAGACCAGATTTTGTGTGTAAATGTCCCTGCCTCTTCCTTAGCTTAGAAACACATTCTCACAATCTCCTAGAAAGAACAAAGGCAAGTCTGGGTGGGGGTGCTTGTTGTCTGTTTATGTTTCTGTTCTTTAACTAAGGATCTAGCGCCTGCTTCAGTGAACCCTGGAGAGTATCTCATGACTTGCAATAGGGGGAATATCCCAAACTCGGACCTTGTTTTCAGGGACTGATGTGAAGGACTACAGTGATCTTCCAGAAGCAGGGAGGTTCCTCTCATGCAGAAGAACTGCTGCATTTAACTAACAGAACTGCCCAGTCTTTCCCTAGAGTTGTTGAATTTCTCCAGCAACATTCATCAACCTTTGGACAAACACAGCTAACCATACGTTAAAAAAAAAGAACCAACCATCTTTCTTTAGCTATACACAGTCAATCTTACAAGTATGAGCCTATTACTCTGGTCATATAAACACTCCTGAAACAGTAACAAAGACATTAATTTAACTGACTGCCTGTATCTACAATGATTTGAGCTACAATGATTCCTGTACAATGAAGCTCCTTTTACCCTGAGTAAGACCATGGTTTAACATGGCCAAAGTTGAAGTTGTTTCTCTAAAACATAGTACTAACAGTATTAATTTGGAAAGCACTGGGCACCTCTTTTTCTCACAAAGTGATTTTTCATTATCTATTTTTCCTCTATTTATTATCAGCTCTGCCTTTCAGGAGCCTAATGTGCAGCAGTATTTGCACAACACAAAGAACATTCCTTCTGTTACCATGTTGGCCAGAGGATCAGCAAGGGACAATAGGAAAGTTAAGTAGTAATTGAGGGAAAAAAACCATCCACTGCACTAGATATTATAATTTTATGCCCACGGGCTTAAGCAAATAACATCAGCAAACAATAAGAAGACTGAAATTACTAGTTTTGCCTTTGTGCCTTAAAAATATCTTTGCAAAAGCAGTCATTATAGCAGTGCTTTCACCTCTTCCCAAGACTTACATTTAGGACTAAAGAGAAATCCTTGAATATTTCTTTCTGCATACTCTAAGAGTTATATTTCTTACCTTTGAGATTAAAAATCCATTGCTGTATTGCATGATGATTTGAGGATAGTCAAGGTCTTCTGTGGAACCCATCTTCCTTCTGGACTGAGACACAGATTTCCTGGCTCTCTTAATTTAAATAAGCTTCTTTTCACCAAACACAAAGCACACCAGCTGATCCTCATAATCTTATTGCTTCTGAGAAACACACTGGTTACAAAACATGCTAGCTGAATTATTTGGCTTTGATGGGTCTTTCTGCCTGGTTCAACTGTTTCTTTGGATCTTCCATCATCAAGTATAAGGCTAAAGAAGCAGTGTGGATTAAGGCTTGTATTGTCAGTTCATCAGTCAGCAACACAGTGGTACCTCAGAAGCCCTTGGAAGCTTGTAACAAGCAAAACAGGAATCAGTACAGAAGAATACCAAGAACCTGAACTCAGTGCAATGCACCAGCATTCATAAACCAAAGCAGAATCTTACTTGGGACTTCAAATTTGCTGTGGGGACAGTCCAGGGGACCCTGGGCTGGCAGTAGGGTACACCTCATCCCTAAGTGCAGAAGCAGCAAGTACAAAGAGAAGCTGTAAGAATCTGTTGCTGTTTTCTTACTGTTATTAGTTTGCTCTGATGATGACCACTCAGATGAAGCCTACGAGGAATTAAATCTACATTTTTTACTTTTCTGTATTTTGCAGGTCCTCCCACCCACCCTGATACCAGCTTAGAAAGGAATACCTGGAGCACCTCAGCAGGGGTGTCCTACCTGTACTTTGCCATGTTCTGACAGAGCAGGGTGCTGAAGGATGACAACACATTTTCATTTTCCAGCTGATTATTACAGTTTTCCTCCCCTTCTCTCCAACACAAATCATGGGCAGCAGAAAGCCCTTGGGAAGAAACAAGGAAATGACTGCAAAGTGCAAGATGGGGCATGGATTTCAACTTCACACAGGACATATCTCATAGATTTTCATCAGAAAATTAAACCCCTGGATTACTTTCCTGAAATCTTGCTGCCCCACTGTTCATTTCTTGGTCTCTGTCTGACATCTTGCCCATCTCATCTCGGGGTAGATGTGGCAACACTCAGGTGAGGAAGATCAAGGAAAAGACTCAGATTTTATATCACACATTTAGTGGCCCTTCAGGAAACAATGTTAAATTAAACCTTATTTAGGTAGTACACTGAAGGCAAAATGTGACAAACCAGCATTTTTTCAGTGGCAGCTTTCTCCATGCTTCAGATTCCATTGTATAATCTTTCTCTGCATCTGTACTTTCTAACTAAACTGTATATAATTGCACATCACCAGCCAAAAATAACTATTGTTAGCAAAAAAAAAAAATTATGTTGTATGAAAGCTGTATGAAAATTAAAAAAAAAATCTCTTCTAAAGGCCAATTCTACGTGCTTCTGAGAAACTGGTGTGATTTCATGCAAGCTTAAGGATTTCCCACTCCTGGGAACATAACAGCTATTCAGCCCCATAAATGTACTGCACTTAAGGCAAAGTTATTTGGTACATGAGTCTCCACTAATAAAATGACCACACAGTTGATTAAATACACTTGAAGTTCTTTTTTTCAATTTTAACTAAATCTGTCTGTTGAGGATACCAGTTATAATCATCTAATGGGATTACCACTAGTAGTGAGATGTAGGGGAGGAGGCTTGCAGATAACCCACACCAGATTGAAAAAAGCTACATGCAGAAGCTGTTTCCAAGTAAATTGTTAGTGAGCCTTAGAGTTTAAGCTCCTTTTAAGCTAGAAATGCATTAATGAAGATGAAATTGCAATGGCTTGCTTTCTATGAAAGCCCTATCAAGATTTCTCTCATAGGGCTTACACCACATGCAGGCTAAAGCCCTTATTTTACCACCACAGTTCTTTTTCAGTGATGCATTTTTCTTTGCCTAAATGACTCACTACAGTCAAATGCTACACAAAAACCAATTATGTCATTTTTGCATAACATTTGAAAGTAAGAAATTATCTATGAACAAAGGAGATTTAGTTAAATGAATGTGCCTGCCAGTGAGAAATCTTCTCACACAAAACCTTCCTTATAAGCAAAAATTACAAATCCCAGGGATGTGACCACAATGAGTTTCAATAATACCAGTAGGAAGCAACTGTGCCTTGCTATCATGACTAAGTCTCTAAGTATACCCAGTTAATAACACATGCCCTGGAAGGGCCCTAAGGTATTATTTTGTGGTCTGTTTTCAAACAATCCTAAAAAACAAAGATACTCAATATCATACTTTTTCTTTGAAATAGAATATCAAGTTTAAAATGCTCTTTTCTTCTTTGTAGCTTCTAATTATTCTCATATTTTACAATAGATGCATTTTCCTAGTAACTTAACTATTATTTCCATCACTTTTGACACACATCAATTTTAGTTTTTCCTGTTTTCATCACATATACAAATAACAAATATTTGGAGTGGGCACAAAAACTTGTATATCCAGCTCATTTTCTAAGCAAACCCTCCCTTCTCTTTAGATTCACTTACAGTAAAAACTCTGAGAACATCTTTTAAAGTGCATCTCAGACAATCCAGAGTTGTTCTTGGTTTAACTTGTGGACAGCAAATAATCTCTCAACAAATAATTCAACTAAATAATCATTGAGGTTTCCATCAGAGGAAAGTCCCAGCAGATTAGAGTCATAGTCATCCTGAGGATATGCAGCTACATCAGCTACAAGTGGTAGATGCAGAAACTTTAGAGAGAGAGACAGATGCAAGCAGAAAACTTAGATGGATAGCAGCTGAGGCAGGCTCTGATTTCAGAATTTTCGTGTGTTCTGTCAAGCATCACAAAGGAAATCCATGGATACACAACTGCCTTAAACAGACCATTTTAGAGGCTTGGCTTGGTTGGAGATGGCAGGAACGCCTTCCTGCCCAGGGGAGGTGGTGAATAATTTCCTCATTTTGCCTTGCTTGTGCATGCAGCTTTGGCTTTACCTTTATATTATGCTTATCTCAATCCATGAGTTTTTTCACTTTTACCCTCACAATTCTTTATCCCATGCCTATAGGGGTGTGTGAACACCTGCATGGAGCCAGCTGCTATAAATCACAGCAGCAAGACATGTGCAATGAACAGAAAAGATTTTTCCAGCCCTTCTCTTTTACAGGGAAGGTAGAAAGTAACAGGCACCACTAGGCAATTCCTCAGAGGGTTGACATGTCTGGGATCATATGCAGAATTGCAGGGAAAATCTAATGTGAAGGTGATCAGTTCTTGTTCAGACACTTTGCTGGCAGTGCCTGGGAGTGACATCCCTTCATATTGTCCTACAAGAAGTCCAGTATCATGAACAGCACACCTGAACATCCCATGCAGAGCAGGTAGAGCTCACCTGGCAGGTGCCACAGTGCACATGCAGTTAGATTAGTTATCAATTAGAGAGCAATTCCAATTAGCCTTAGCCCTTCAAAAATTTTAAAATATATGCTATGGCAAAGCATTAGCCTGAGCTAACCTATGAATTTTTTTTTTTTGTCAGGCAGCAGGAGATTCAGGAGTTGCAGCATGTGAGGGGGTACCAGACCAAATTTATTTTCTTTGCTGCCTCTAAAGAAGAAAGGATGGTGGTGCACATGCCTTCAAACAAGCCTCAAGAGCCCAGTATTAGATTAATATAGGACACTTGATTCATTCTGTGCATTCATTCAGATCTGAAGAATCAACGGCAACTAGATTGCTGCTTTATACAAACACTAGAGACAACTGCAAATTTACTGCAAAAGCGACAGAAGATACTTTCTGCAAATAATATGCTGATTAGGCTTAGGAAAGGCCAGATCAACTGAATGTAAAGTAAGCTTACTGAAATGTGTATTGTATTCAGAATAACCAAACCTCAGAAGCAGGATACCAGAGCAAGACACTGGCAATGCATAATAAACACAAATTTGATCTGTATTGTAATACAAGACATCAGTGGCCAATTTTGCCCATACATTTATAAATTAAGATATTTGCCAAACTAGTTGGTTTAATTGCTGTCTTATGTAGAATGAAACATCTCTAGCTCTGCTATCAAACATGAACAGCCACAATAGTCTGTTATAAGATCCTATACAAGAACTGCCCTAAAGCTGACATTGGTGCCAAATCCAGGTAGTCCTGATCACCAGTCGACTCTCACTAGTTTGTCTTTATAGCCTTGTGGCACGGATAGAATCTTGTGTTCACAATTTTGGAAGCAACAGCAAAAATTCGCCTTTTCTCTGTCAGTGCTAAAGACGATGCTTCCAGGTAACATAACATATATTTATACACATACCTAATTATGCTATGTCTTTATTTTAGGACACTGAATAGATTACTCTGCAAAGGTAGAGCCAATTAGAAACAGCATTTGGATATGGTTACAGCTTTGGTAATAATTTTTACTAATATAAATTACTGCTGGCAATTTGACTCACACATTATCAAAATTCCTTCACCACAGCAGGTAGTAATCAGTTGGAAAATATCACAATAATCATATTGAAGGGCTTTGGCCTTGCTGTTGTAGCAAAGCTGTCGTTTGACTAAGCTGCTTCCCAAGCCACCTAGTGCAGGCTGAGGCCAGGAGATAACAGGTCAAAAGGCTGGTACGTGCAGAGGCCCATCAGCCCTCAGACAGATACAAGAGGAGACATTCCTTAAGGATAAAACAGGACTATGCAGCAACACTGTTCATAGCAACAAGATCTTAGATTTCTTACCCCTTTGAGACTCCTGTTCTTCTTTGTTTCTTTGTTTCACAAGGGCTGCAGAAAAACCATTCCTGGTTGCCACTGCCAACAGCTGTGACAAGGCAGCAGCACATGCAGAGAACACATGCACCAGCTCCTGCCCAGAAAAGGGAGCTCAAGAGCTTTGGCACACAAACTTCCTACCCTCTTCAGCTCAGACGTTGCTGAAAGCAGTCTGTGATTAGTTCACACCTCCAACAGGAAGAGGTCACATGCTCCCTTGTATCACTAGATGATCAGTACACTTTAAAACTCCTCAAAAGCAAATAGGGTTCCCACTCAATCCTGTCCTCCTGGCAAGGACATAAAGGAGACATTGTGGTGTCAGATGTGAAATCTCTCCTGAAGCCACATGCAACAATTGAGGTCCATTCTCACAACCAAGAAAACTCTCCTCCCGCTTCATCATGTGAGTTAAGAATGATCAAGAATGACAGCAGAACACTGGAATAAACACTGGGCATTTCTTGGGACACAGTACATGAAATAGGGCTCAGAGGTCTCTTTCCCTGATGCCTAGACTTTCCAGCAGGCATAAACACAGGGCTGTAGCATGAAATTGCCCAATCCATGGTTTAACAGGATTTAGACCCTGTATTTATACCACACCAATCATGCTAAATGTGGACATTTTTCCACTAGTGAAGGAAATAACCTACCAGTTAAGAGTGAACCTGAGCTTTCCTCAGCAACAAAGCCTGCTGATTTTAAACTAAGCTTAAATTGACAGACATGGCTGCCTGACACAAGGCAAGAAGCTGGGTGAGCTCTTGACTTGGCAAGGGAAGATTTTGGAATGACACAGAAGAAACAATCCCTTCCCTTGACCAGATCC